TTTTGGATTTATATTTTTCAATTAAACCATGGCATTTAATTGTTACTATATTACATTTATAGATTAATTTAAAGAAAATTGTGTTCATTACAATATTTGCGTTTTCCTGTCTAAAAACAAAGAATTTCTCCATTTATTGACTTATATATCCCTAACAGAATCTTATAGTGCTTTTTATTTAGGTTTTGCATAATCCTTAAATTTATCCTTATTTTTTAAAAAATACTTTATTTATTTCTTTTTAGAGAGAGGGGAAGGGAGGGAGAAAGAGAGAGAGAGAAACATCAATGTGTAGTTACCTCTCACTTGGCCTCCACTGGGGACCTGGCCCGCAACCAAGGCATGTGCCCTGACTGGGAACCGAATTGGCGATCCTTTGGTTCGAAGCCTGCGCTCAGTCCACTGAGCTTATACCAGCTGGGGCAATTTATCCTTATATTTTATGCCTTCCTTATTTTTGATTTCCGGCATGTGTATTGTATTTTGTTGGAGAAACCAAGTGGTTACATTTCTTATGTGCACAACATGGTGAACCTTTTTCTATTTTTAGGGTGGGTTGTTTCAAGAAAAAGCAATCCAACACAGTTGAACTGAACTGAGTAATTTAACTTCTAAAGTAACACCTCAGGTTTTATTTTTTTATATTATTATCTTTTGTATTTGCAGCATGGAGTATAATTTGAACTGTAGTTTTTTGTTATTTTATTTTTTCCTATATTTTATCCTGTTTTTTAAAATTATATTTTATTGATTATGCTATTACAGTTGTCTTGACTTTTTCCCCCTTTGCCCCCCTCCACCCAGCACCCCCCATTCCCTCAGGCAATCCCCACACCATTGTTGATGTCCATGGGTCATGCATATAAGTTCTTTGGCTACTCCATTTCCTATACTGTGCTTTAAATCCCTATGACTATTCTGTTAACTTACCTATTTATACTTATTAATCCCCTTACTTCCTCACCCATTCTCTCCCTCTCCCCTCCCATCTAGTAACTAACTTCTCTTGCTGCTTTTAAGAGTCTTTATCTTGAACCTTCAGCCTTTTAATTATGTGTCTTGGAGTGGGCCTCTTTGCAGCCATCATAACTGGGACTCTGTTCTTCCTGGACTTGCACGTCTATTTCCTTCACCAAATCAGGGGAAATTTTCTTTCACTGTTTTTCCAGATTCCCAATTTTTTGCTCTTTATCTTATGGCACCCCTATGATGTGAATGTTGAACCTCTTGAAGTTGTTGCAGAGGCTGTTTATACTATCCTCATTTTTTTGGATATTTTAATTCTTTTTGTGTGATTGTTTTTGGCTTCCTTATTTCCAAATCATTGATTTGATTCTCAACTTCATCCACTCTTCTGTTGTTTCCCTGTAAATTGTTCTTTATTTCAATTAGTGTATCCTTTGTTTCTGACTGGGTCTTTTTTATGCTGCTAGGGTCCCCACTAAATTCCTTGAGCATCTTTATAACCAGTGTTTTGAACTCTGCATCTGATAAAATGCTTATCTCATTTCATTTAGTTCTTTTTCTGGAGTTTTGATTTGTTCTTTCATTTGGGCAATATTTCTTTGTTTCCTAGTTTTGGCAGCTTCCCTGTGTTTGTTTCTATGTATTAGGTAGAGCTGCTTTGACTCCATGTCTTGGTAGTGTGCCCTAATGTAGTAGGTGTCCTGTAGGGTCCAGTGGCACAGCCTCCCCTATCACCCAAGATGGGTACTCGAAGTGTGCCCTTCTTGTGGGCTGAGTACACTCTCCTCTTGTAGTTGAGCCTTGATTGCTGTTGACAGATCATTGGCCAGGATTTACCCACGCCATTCAGCTGCAATATTCTCTATGACCACTGACCACCAACCTCCGCCCTCTTTGGAGGATCAGCTGTTCAAGGGCAGGGTGGTGGTGTTCCAGCATGGTCTGTAGGTGTCCACTGGGTGTGCTGGCCCTGGGGTTTCCCAGGTAGTGCGAGTTGAGGTCAATCCCCAGTGTGTTTGCCCAGGACATACTGCCTGAGCTGCAAAGCAATCTGAGATGGTGGCTGTTTGTGCTGGGCTTGGAGATTCCCAGGCAAAGCCAAGCTGTGAATCTAATCTGGCTTCCACTAGAGCTCACAGAAGCCTGCTCTTGCTTGTTTGATAGGATTTAGGAACCAAGACCAGCCATTCTTATGGAAAAGCAACTTGAGGTGGCCCATAAATTGGGTGGGGCAGAGCCTCTGGGGATCTCCTAGGTGGGTCAAACAGTGTTAGCCAGGTTGATGAAGTCTCAGATATGGCACTGCTTACCAGCTCAGTGAGAGAAGGGTTTAGCAAAGGGTCAATGGCCTCTGCTCACCCAGGTGCCAGACACTTCAGTTTCTCCCTGTATACCACTGGTGCCTTTCAAGCTGCTATACTAGTGTTGCAGCTCAAAGGGAGTGAGTCTGAGTAGATGAGTCCGTGTGTAGGTTCTATAAAAGGAACTGCTTGGGGCTCCAGAAGTTTCTTCCACCAACTAAATCCCTGCTGGTTTTTGCAGCAAGAACTTGTGGGGACTTACCTTCCTGGCACTGGAGTCCTTGGCTAGGAACCTGGTGTGGGTCTAGGATTTCTCATTCCCAAGATATCCCTCTTGAGTTTTTATCCACGTGGGTGTGGGACCACCCTGTTTGGCATCTGTGCCTCTCTTACCACTCTGGATGGATGTGGTTTCTTTACTTCTGTAATTGTCAGACTTCCATTCACCTTAATTTCTGACATTTCTGAGTGATGCTTGTTCTGTATTTTAGTTGTGATTTTGATGCAGTTTTGCAAAGAGGCAAGCCATGTCTGTTTCTGCCACATTCTTGACCGAAATTCCCCTATACTTTGTTTCTTGGTTATATTGAAATTTTAGTACTTTTAAAGTAAAATAAATTATATTTCAAATGCACTTTTCCTTTTTACTTCATTAGTTTGGTGATAGCAAGTGGATTAAGAAATATGAATTTAACTCTCATTTTAAGTCTGTTTTCTGGGTAATTCTTGGCTCACAAGTGTTAAAAGGGAAAGATGAACAAGTCGTAGAGCAAAAATAATAGGTATTTCTTGATTTGGAGGTGGCACAGCGTAAGAGCTAGCTGCTCAGTTTCTGTGGTTTTGTGACCTACATATGCTAGTTAAGAGTCCTTGGGAAAGTTACTTAACCTCCCTAAGCTTTGTGTCTCCATTTGTAAAATAGTGATACTGTCTAACAGATAGGGTATTTACAAGGATGAAGTGAGATATGCTAGTGCTTGGTTTATGGCAAGTGCTCTTTAACTGTTGTTTTACTTCTGGTCCCAATGAGTAAATGGTGTGCATCAGTGAAACATTGTCATCTAGGGTTCTTGAAGATTCTGGTAGGGCTTTTCTATGCATTAGGAATCCATATTTATCATCTGAAAGTGAAAACAAAAATATAGGTAAGAGGGGAAAAATATAACAACTTAAAATCCCCAAAATACTACCATGCAGAGATAACAGTGTTAGCAAGGACACCTCTTTAATACTCGTTTGGAATTGAAGTACATATCCCCATGATAGCCAAGCCTGCTTTCTTATTTGAGAAGTCTCATTGAAGGTTGCCGGTCCTAAAGTTGAGTCTTTTTTGTTGTTGTTAGGGGCATTTATTTTTATATAAAATTTGTTCCTTAAATGCAGTTTCTCAAATGTTGGAATTCCTTATCTTCTGTTTGGACCCATTCTCCCATGTAGATACAAAATTATACTTAAATAACTATAAGATAAGAAATAGTAGCCCTGGCTGGGTTGCCCAGTTGGTTAACACATCATCCTGATACACCAAGTTTGCAGGTTCTATCCCTGGTCAGGGCACATACAAGAAGCAACCAATGAATATGTAATGGGTGGAACAACAAATTGGGTGTTTCACTCTCTCAAAAAAAAGTCCGGAGCTGGGTAAAATAAATAGCTATTGTCCTTATTTTCCCCACGTTAACCTAGTAGACTTGATTGTCAAACTGATGCATTGAGCACAAGTCATGCCTGCACTTCTGTGAGCCTCTTAACCTTCCCTCAGTTTCCGTTTCTTTGTGTTTACTTAGGAATAATGTCCTGGTTTTATTCTGTAGGGCCTTTTTAGGTATATTCACTGGATCCTTTTGGAAGCCATTAAAATACATATACATGTGACCTAAATTGACCTGAAGACTGCTATATTCTGGCCAAGAAGTTATCCTTAATTCTGTTTTTCTTCTTAAAATAAGCTTCAACAGCTATTATCCAGTTAAACTTACCTTATAGTGCTATTCAGGGTATAATGCTATCAAATTATATGATATTAATAATGCCTTAGAATTTGTCCCATGCTGTGAGACAAAATTAACCTTTACCAAATGAAACTTTGACAATCATCTCAACAATTAACTTGCTCTAATTGTGATTTTTAAATATATAATTTGTTCCATTAACAAATGTGATAGACACATTTAATCAGGTAATTAAGTTCTTTATTTATTGTCCAATTAGAGTCGTCTCAGTCCCCTCCTTCCTTGCTCTCTTCTGCTCTGCCCACCCCCCCCCAATTAATCCCTTTAGATTTCACTCTTTAGGAGATAGGATTCTACTGTAAGGTAGAATCTGAAAGATGTCAACCTTTAGTTTTAGCTAGCCATTCCTTCTCCTAATAGTGCATTAGTATTGTAGCTTAGAAATCCAATGGGAAATGATGCCTTAGAGCATTTCTCTAGATTGGAATGGTGAAGGCCTAATTCATTTAATTTGTTTATAAAACATAACTTTTAAAAGATTTTTAAAATTGTTTTTCAAGTACAGTTGTCTCCATTTTCACCTCACCACACCCCTTTACTCCATCCATCCCTGCCTCCCACCTTCGAACCTACCCTCTTTGGCTTTGTCCAGATTTTTAAAATAATATATGTAGTAATATAGAGTAAATATGTGTTAAGTATTATGTAGAGGTTAAGTATTAGGAGAATGACTTTGCTGAAAATGGCTTTTTCCATCTTAATTTTTCTTTCTTTATTTAAGGATTTCTAGATGAGGTTATGAAGAAATATGGCAGTTTGGTCCCACTCAGTGAAAAAGATGTCCTTGGAAGATTAAAAGATGTCTTTAATGAAGACTTTTCTAATAGGTTTGTCAATGATGCCTAAGTTAAGCCCTTTAAAATAAAATTCTTAGTATGTGTGATTTTTTATGGTTAAAGATTTAGGAATAAATAGAGCAGAACTTATGTTTTTAACCTTTTATTTCAAAATCTTTCTGTTTCAGAAAACCGTTTATCAATAGGGAAATAACGAACTATCGGGCCACACATCAAAAATGCAACTTCCGTGTCTTTTACAATAAGCACATGCTGGATATGGATGACCTGGCGACACTGGATGGTCAGAATTGGCTGAATGACCAGGTGAGTGTATTGTAGGTTCCCATCATGGGAAAGTTGCAGAGGACATTGGACAATAAAATATAATTGATAACTTCTGGATTGGCCTCACAATTATCTTTTGGAATCAAGGATTCTTTATTCTTTACTGAAATGACTTACTAACCTTACTATCCAAAAGGTTTGATAATTGTTAGCAGTATATTATGTTATTCATTCTTAGTGGGATGTTTTGAGTTGTATAGGGTTAGTAAGCTGGTTTTATGTTGACTTTTTATAGGTCATTAATATGTATGGTGAGCTGATAATGGATGCAGTGCCAGACAAAGTAAGTGAAAACTTACTCTTCTTTAGGAGAGTCCTTATTTAAAAAAAACAACAACAAAAAACCTTTATGTAATTATTTGATATTCCTTAGATTTTTTTTTCTTGTATTGATTCTAGAGAGAGGAGAAGGGAGAGAGAAAGAGAGTGAGAGAAACATCAGTGTGAGAGAGACATCAGTTGATTGCCTCTTGCATGTACCTTGACCCAGGACTGAACTTGGCAACCCAGGTGTGTGCTCTGACTGGGAATTGAACCCACAACCTTTCATTTTGCAGGCGTCATCCAATCAACAGAGCCACACTGGCTGGGGCTGATATTCCTGAGATTTTTTAAAAAGAGTTACACTCTTGACTGGTGTGGCTCAAATGGTTGAGTGTTGTGCTACAGAGCAAAAGGTTGCAGGTTACATTCCTGTTCAGGTCACATGCCTAGGTTATGGGCCCTGTCCATGGTTGGGGCGTGTACGAGAGGCAAAACCCATCAATGTTTCTCTCACATATTGATGTGTCTCTCCCTCTCTTCCTCCCTTTCTCTCTCTCTAAAAAAACCAAATCTTTAAAAAAAAAGATAAAAAGGGTTACATTTCGTCTTGATCATGTGCTGGGATGGGGCTTACATTTTGTGAAATCACTTCTGCATAAGGAAGTTATGATGCCAGTGTTACCTTCCTTATTTGTTTCAAATTGAGTATGTTAGCCCTGACTGGTGTGGCTCAGTGGGTTGGGCATTGTCCAGCAAACCAAAGGGTCACTAGTTTGATTCCTGCTCTGGGCATATGCCTGGGTTGCAGGCCAAGTCCCCATTTGGGGGCATGGGAGAGGCCACCAGTTGATGTTTTTCTCTTTCTCCCTTCCATTCTCTCTAAAAAAGTAAATACATAAATAGAGTGTGTTTGTTGATATCTTAAGGAAATTTTTTTTGGTAGAAGATGCATAAAAGGGAATGTTTGTTTAAGCTTTTTAATTAATTGATTGAATAATTTTTTAGCGTGGCAGGGAGGGGTAAAGAGAGGGAGAAAAACATTCATGTGTGAGAGAAACATCAGTGCATTGCCTCTTGTACATGCCCCGACTGGGGACTGACCAGCAAATCAGGCATGTGCCCTGAACAGGATTGATCCAGTGACCCTTTGCTTTGCCTGTGATGATGCCCAACCAACTGGGCCACACCAGTTAAGACTGCTTTAAGCTTTTGAATTTAACGTAGTCTTGTTCTCTTTAAAAAGTGGTAAAGTACCTGCGCCAGTGTGGCTTGTTTGGATCATCATCTCATAACTGAAAGGTGGCAGGTTCGATTCCCAGTCAGGGCACATACCTAGGTTGTTGATTCAATCCTTGGTCTGGGCATGGTCATATGCGACTCCAGCCTGGACACGTGTAATCTCTGATCTCCAGTCCAGGCATGTAAGGGAGGTAACCAATTGATGCTATTCTCTCGCTTAGATGTTTCTCTCTACTTCTCTGCTTTCCTAACCCTCTAAAAGCAATGAAAGAAAAAATGTCCTTCAGGGTGAGGGTTAAAAAAAATGGTAGTGTTTTATTTTAACTTTATCTTGAATTAATCTTTTATTTTTAAAATATTTTATTTATTTTTAGAGAGAGGAGAAGGGAGGGGGAAGAGAGAAAGAGGAACATTAATGTGTGGTTGCTTCTTGCGCAGCCCCTACTGGGGACCTGGTCTGTAGCCCAGGCTTGTGCTCTGATTGGGAATTGAACCAGCGACCCTTTGGTTCACAGGCCAGTGCTCAATCCACTGAGCCACACCAGCCAAGGCTCTTGGATTAATTTTTGCTATGCTACTCAGTTCAAATACAAACTGAATCCCTTAAGTTGTAAAATTCCCTTAAGAACTTAGGGAATATATTAAAACTATTTTTAAATTTAATATGTTTTCTTTTTGAGTATACAGATTGTTTAGTGAACAGCCTCTAATTTCAACAAGCAAAACCTTTCAAAGTACTTTATAAACTTTTACAAGTCTAATGGTTTAATCAGGTGATGTAATGAATTTCAGATTCCAACACTATTTATGAATATAGACAAAATGTTACAACTTCCTACTTAAAATTACAAATATGGTCCTGGCTGGTATGGCTCAATGGCTTGAGCACTGGCCTGCAAACCAGTGGGTCGCTGGTTTGATTCCTAGTCAGGGCACATGCCTGGATTACGGACCAGGTCCCCATTTGGGAGTGTGTGAAAGGCAACCAGTCGATATATTTTTCACCCCTCCATGTTTTGCTTCCTCTTCTTCTACCTCCCTTCCCATCTCTTTAAAAATAAATAAATAAAAAATTTTTAAAAAATTACAAACATGTTATGCATTTTAAATTGGAATCATGAGACTAGTCTGTCATATTGCATTCATGATTCTGATGCATACAAAGTTCAAGTATCTCTGCTCTAGAGATAGCTACTATAAGCTCTGTTTTATCTATATCATAAGCTTCATGGTTCTCAAAATAAATATGCCTAAGAATCCCTGGAAGATTTATAAAACCAGATTGCTGAGCCCCAACCTCACAGTTTGTGCTTCAATAGGTCTGGGGTAGGACCTCAGAAATTGCATTTTGGCAAGTTCCCAGGTAATGCTGATAATGCATGCGGTCTGGTGACCACATCCTGAGAACCTCAGCAGTAAGAGAACAATTTTTTCATCACAAGTAAGTCAAAGTTACTGGGTAAACACTTAGACTACAATACTTTACTATCTCAGGTGAGCTGATACTAATTTATAAGCCAGAAATTTGAAGCCAAGGATGCAGGACATGATGTTCCAAATGACCAGAGTAATTCTTTCAATGCTAGAAGTGATTAAGCAAAGGCCTTTTTACAGTTGTTATGACAATAAGTGTCTTCAAATTCACTTTCTTCATATGAGGTTAGTTTTTCTAATCTATATCCCTTTAGTTCAAAGTAATCATATCATAGCTTCTTTTACCTTGATCACCTAATTTAGAGAAATTTGTCAGCTTGCTTCTCTGCTTGATTGGATTCAGATAATCTACTTACTGCCCATTCCAGCTCTAACTATAGATAACAGCTGTATGGTCATTCTAATGGAAATTTGGAACAGAATCTTCTGTGAACCATGTAATATATTTTCTGTATTTTTGGTTATTATTTTAAAGAAGAAACATTATTTTGTCTATAGTATATTCAAGGATTTTTAAATTTCCATTTTTTTAGTTAAACCTGGGCACAGACTAATATAATTTTGGTGCTTATATTTGCTGTCTCTTCTAGGTTCACTTCTTCAACAGCTTTTTTCATAGACAGCTGGTAACCAAAGGATATAATGGAGTAAAAAGGTGGACTAAAAAGGTATTCTCTTTACTACTCTTTATTCTAAATTTAAAATGCAAGTGATAAGTCACTTTGAGTGGAAGGATAAGAACTTTATTACTAACATGATATTAATTAGAAACAGACTGTTTAATGTGACAGTTTTTTATTGGTTCTTTTAAATCTTGTTCAAAAGACAAGACACTAGTAACATTAGTCTATCTACTTGATTGGAGCATGATATAACAACCACTGGGCAGAAAGTTAATGGTTTGCATTACTGTTACCTTATTGTGCAACTTGGACAAGACATTTAATTTGGGCTTTAGATTGCTTATTTATCAAAATAATAAATTAGAGTAATCCCTAAAATTCCTTTCAGTCTTTGTTTTTTTAAAAGTTTATTTTATTTTTAAAAGATTTTATTTATTTATTTTTAGAGAGAGGGGAAGGGAGGGAAAAAGAGAGGCAGGGAAACATCAGTGTGTGGTTGCCTCTCACATGGCCCCCACTGGAGACCTGGCCTGCCACCCAGGCATGTGCCCTGACTGGGAATCGAACTGGCTACCCTTTGGTTCACAGCCCATGCTCAATCCACTGAGCTACACCAGCCAGGGAAGAATATATATATATATGTGTGTGTGTGTGTGTGTGTGTGTGTGTGTGTGTGTGTGTGTGTGTGTGTGTGTATGCATGCATGTATGTATGTATTTTATTGATTATGCTATATAGTTGTTCCATTTTTTTTCTCCCCTTTATTCCTTTCTGTCCTGCACCTCACCTCCCCCCTTCATTCTGCACCAGCCTTAGTTCATGTCCATGGGTCATACATACAAGTTCTTTGGCTTCTCCATTCTCTATACTATTCTTTTCTTTTTTAAAGATTTTATTTATTCATTTTTAGAGAGAAGGGAAGTGAGGGAGAAAGAAAGGGAGAGAAACATCAATGTGTGGTTGCCTCTTGTGCACCCCTGCCCTCCACTGGGGACCTGGCCCACAACTCAGGCAGGTGCCCCAATTGGGAGTTGAACGGGCGACCCTTTGCTTCACAGTCCGGTGCTCAATCCACTGAGCTATACCAACCAGGGTTCCTGTACTGTTGTTAACCTCCCCCTGTCTATTTTGTACCAACCATTTATGCTTCTTATTCCCTGTACCTTTTCCCTCTTCCTCCTCCCCCTCCCCACTGACAACCCTCTATGTGATCTCCATTTCTGGGATTCTGTTCCTTTTCTAGTTGTTTGCTTAGTTTGTTTTCAGGTTTATTTGTTGATAGTTGTAAGTTTGTTGTCATTTTACTGTTCATATTTTTTATCATCTTTTTAGATAAGTCCCTTTAACATTTTATGTAATAAGGGCTTGGTGATGATGAACTTTAACTTGACCTAGTCGGGGAAGCACTTCATCTGCTCTTCCATTCTAAACTATAGCTTTGCTGGATAGAGTAATCTTGGATGTAGGTCCTTGCCTTTCATGACTTTGAATACTCCTTTCCAGTCCTCTCTTGTCTGCAAGGTTTCTTTTGAGAAATCAGCCAATAGTCATGGGAATTCCTTTGTAGGTAACTCTTCCCTTTTCTCTTGTTGCTTTTAAGATTCTCTCCTTATCCTTAACCTTGGGTAACTTAATTATGATGTGCCTTGGTGTGTTCCTCCTTGGGTGCAACTTCTTTGGGACTCTTTGAACTTCCTGGGCTTGTATGCCTATCTCTTCACCAGATTGGGAAAGCTTTCCTTCATTATTTCTTCAAATAAGTTTTCAGTTTTTTGCTCTCCCTCTTCTCCTTCTGGCACCCCCATGATTCGGATGTTGGAACGTTTAAAGTTGTCCCAGAGGTTCCTAAGCCTTTCCTCATTTTTTTGAATTCTTGTTTCTTCATCCTGCTCTGGTTGAATGTTTATTTCTTCCTTCTGGTCCAAACCGTTGATTTGAGTCTTGGTTTTCTTCCCTTTACTGCTGGTCCCCTGTATATTTCTCTTTATTGTACATTGCATAGTCTTCACTTCTTCCTCTATTTTTCATTCATACTCAACCATTTCTGTGGGCATCCTAATTACCAGTGTTTTGAACTGTGCATCTGGTAGGTTGGCTCTCTCTTCATTGCTTAGTTCCATTTTTGGAGCTTTGATCTGTTCTTTCATTTGGGCCATATTTCTTTGTCTCCACATGCCTCTTACACTGTAAAGGGTGGAGCCATAGGTATTTGCCACTGCATGGCAACCCCCATTGCTGTATTGTGGTGCTGTATGTGAGGGAGGGGTCAGAGAGGGAACAAGGCTGCTTGCTTGGTGCCTGGCAAGCTTCCAGTCACTTCCCCTGCTTCCCACAAGCAAATTAGGCCCTTCTGGTTATGATTCCCAGGTGTATGGACTTGTGTATGTTCTAGGACCCTGTGGGTCTCTCCAGTGAACTCTGCTGTGTGCCTGGGAATTTCTCCTGCTGTAGCATTTCCCACAGATTTTTACAGCCAGAGATTTCTGAGGCTTTATTTTCCTATGCTGGAACCTTGGGTTGCATGGTCTGTCTCCCTCCACAGTTACTCCTTCCATTTTACCTGCACACAAATGTTGGCCTGCCAGGTCTTCCAGCCACCGCTTTGCAGAGAATCCTCTCCACCCCGACTGCCTGTCTCTGCCACTCCCACCAGTCTGGATAACTGTTTCTTCTTTAACTCCTTGGTTGTCAGACTTCCATAGAGTTCACCTTTCTGGCAGTTCTGGTTGTGTTTTGTTTTTAAATTAGTTCTTGTCCTTCTTTTGGTTGTGCAAGCACGCAAAGTATATTTAACTACACCTCCATCTCAGCCAGAAGTCTTATCTTAATTTACAGTATTTTGCTGTGTATAATGAACACTTTTTTGCCCAAATTTTTGTGGGGAAAAATAAGGACACACATTGTACATGGGTAGTACCTGAAATACCTTGTATCTGTTCTTGTGTTTTGTAATTATTTGTTACATGAATTTTTTACCATAATATGTTAAAAAATAAATGCTGAAATTCCTGTATAATATTTTTAAAAAGTATCTAAATAATTCAAATTGAATTAAGCAATTAAAACAAAATATTTTTCCTAAAAGTTGGGGCCAAAATTGTGGGTGCGGGGTATACACGGCAGTGTGTTACTCAGAGCAAAATATGGTATCTGTATTCATTGACTATCCCAGAAACATTAAAAAAGACCATTTATATTCTGTTTTTGATATATTGAGAAAATTACCAACAATTTCAAATTCTATAGTCATAGGCCTAGAGATATTATAACTTTGTACTTTTTATACTGGATGGATTAGAGCAGGGGTGTCAAACTCATTTTCACCGGGGGCCACATCAGCCTCCCAGTTGCCTTCAAAGCGTGGAATGTAAATTTTAGGACTGGGTAAATGTAACTACTCGTTAACAGTTAAGCCAGTTAAGCGAGAGCTCGGCGCTGCTGCTGGGTAGAAACAAGGTGCCGGGCCAGAAACAACAAGGTGGAGGGCCGGATTTGTCCCACAGGCCTTGTGTTTGCCACCTGTGGGTGAGAGAAGTTAAGACTGAGTCTTGTCTTAAGTAGTCGTGGATGGAGATAAATTTAAAACAAAAAAATTTTATTTATATATTTTCAGCAAGAGGGAAAGGGAAAGACAAAGGAAGAGAAACATCAGTGTGCAACAGAAACATCCGTTGGTTGCCTCTCGCATACCCCCAACTGGGGACCTGGCTCGCAGCCCAGGCATGTGTCCGGTCTGGGAATTGAACCAGTGACCTTTCAATTTGCAGACCAGTGCTCAAATCTACTGAGCCACACCAGCTAGGGCTGGAGATAACATTTTGCAAAGTACAAAAACACCTGATTGAATATTGCTATGTGAGGCATCTTAGTAGTGCCAAGATAAATGAAATGTGGTTGAAGAGTATAAATCTGGGGAAATAGATATAATGAACTCAGGAATCAGACCTGAGTTCAGATCCTAGTTCAGCCTCTTAACTAGTTGTAAGACCTTGGGCAAATTATTTAATTTTTATAAGCCACTGTTTCCACATCTGTAAAAATCAATAGTATTTACCTTGTGAGGATAAATGAGATAACACATGTAAACTAGTAGGTACATGGTAAATACGCAGTAAGTGATAATCATTATATATGATGGTAGAAGCATGGGAGAAAGCTAGTGTAGCTGAAGTGCAGAGAGCAAAGAAGAGACTGGTATGAAGTGGACCTGATCCAGAGATGTAGGGCCTTAGGGTCTGTGTTTTGATTTTATCTTAATTGTATAGGAATCTGTTGAAAGGTTTTAGATGATACCATGCCATTTAAAGTCTAGCAGCACTGAAGAAGATGGATGAATGTGGGAACAAAGTTGATGTGGGTAGAATAGGAGGCCATGACATATTGATGGTATTTGGGATTAGAATGGTAGCAAGAGAGATGGGAGATATACCCAAATATGAGTGTGATCTAGGAAGTAAAATTAACAGGATTTGGTGATGGGTTGGTTATGGAGATGAAGGAGAAGGAAGTGTGAAAAGTGACTTCCACATATGTGGCTTGTACTGCTGGCTGGACGATGGTGTTTATATTAGAAAAGAGGGTAGCCCTGGCCGGCGTGGCTTAGCTGGTTGGAGCATTATCCCATAAACTGAAAGGTCCTGGGTTCAATGCCCAGTCAGGGCACATGCGACACAGGATGGCTATGAATGTGGCCCAACACAAAATCATACATTTACTTAAAACATTATTTAGTTTTATTACTTTGATATGTACATTTTGTATATTAGTGATCATGAAGTTGGGATCTGCTTGGCCATTTTAAAAGATTACCAAAAGGGCCACTGCATAATAGGAGTATTATGTGAGGACTTTTTTGATTATCTGTGGTGATGGATATCATCAAAATTATGCACAGACCTTTTTTTTTTTTTGCTCACCAGTCTTCATTAGTGTTTGCATATGTAATGTGTGGCCCAAGACAACTCTTCTTTTTCCGGTATGGCCCAGGGGTGCCATAAGGTTGGACAACCCTGTCCTAGATCTTTATTCCCCTCAAAAGAAAATAT